AGGCTAGGTTCCCTCCCAGGTTCCACACTGCACATCATTCCTCTCCCAAGTTTCCCTCTTAGGGTTCAAGAGGAGGCAGATTGCTGGGCTTTGGGTTTCATGGTTAAATGGGAGGGAGGGGATGCCTGGGCTGATCTGGGCCTTCAGGAGAATCATCCAATATTCCTGTTGCTTCCTATAAATGCAAGGGAATCCACAGACTTTTAAAAAAAAGGAGTTATTCTATACAAACTATCCATTGCACAATTGTTTATCAAGCCCCTTGCTTTGTATGCAGCAAGTACCATGTGTGGCGGTGGGGAGTGCCATGATGAACAGAGCAGCCACTGACCCCAAGCACTCACAGTCTGGTAGAGTAGGCAGCCTCATGAACATCTATTCTCTGCAAGGAGAAGTGCTCTGACAACTGCCACTTGCTGGCAATGGGACCTGGGGCAAGTTACTTGACTTCTCTGTGTCTTGCTTTCATCATCTGTAAATGGGTTTAATAGTAGTGCTCCTCTCCTTGGGCTGTTGGGAGGATTAAATGAATTCATATATTAAGGTGCTTAGAACAATGTGAGACACACAGTAGGAGCTATGCAAGAGTTTGCTCTTGATGATGGTGGTCACTAACAGAGAAAAGCTTCCTGACCCTGTGCTCCCCTAAACCAGAAAGACCTCCCAGAGGATGTTACACAAACTGAGTAGAAGAGGAGTTGGTCAAATGTCTGAGGGGAGGAGAGAGCGGGGAGGAAGAGGAGGGAAAAGAACAAGGGGAATAGATGGAGCAGAGGAAGCAGCGTGTGGCAGCACAGAGGTGTTGAAAACACAGCAAATGTGAGAGCAGAAATCAAGTCCATGGGAACTCGGAGGCACTTTGGAAGACGAGGCAGAGAGTTATGAACAGACCACACAGAATAGGTCATAAAGGTCTGTTGTATCATGCTAAGGAATTTGGATGTTTAAACATCTATTTATGGGAAAAATTTTTCTAGAAATCTGTGAAGTGCTTACTAAGCTGTATTGGCAGTTTAGCTAAACAAGGAAATTGAGAAAAGTGCCCTCAATGGCCAGTTTCCGATTATGAGAATGGAGAATGTGTGCAGTGTCCCACAGGCACCTGGATCTGGCTGTAGATCCCTGGGGCCATGTTGACTGTGACTGATTTCCTGTAGCTTCTTCTCCCTGCCCCTAGAGTGGCTCCCCTCTACCCACATGGCATGATAATAGCCTACCTCCATAAAGGCATTCCAAGCTGTGACAAACTCTCCTGCTGTCCTCCCTGGTGCCCCTTTGTCCTTACTGTCAGAGCATTGACATTTTGTTCTGGGGTCCACCCTTTTCTCCATCTATGAACTCAATAGAGAAAACTCGGATTAGCTCAAACTGCTCATGTCATTCTTTCCCCCTTCCCAGTCATTGGCTGAGAGACAGATGGGCACTTGTCTCAATTCTGGCCAGAGACAGGAGGGGACCCGGGAGGCTCCTGGGAATGTTTTTCCATCTCTGAAAAAGGAACACACAGGCTGACAAGCCTCTTCTTCCTCTGAGTGTTGTGTTGGTATGAGACACCCGGAATCACAGGTCCTCTGGCATATCACAACGACTTTTGTACAGTTAGATAAATAGGCATTTCATTGAAAATTGGAGATTTATGACAACTTCCTGTGGGATATTTAGGGTGGTTGTTATCCCTTTGGTAGATTAGAAAGCTGGAAGATATAAATTAGCATATGTATTAGGCCTAGAGAATGAGCAGAATAAACCCAGGTCTGATGATTGCTAGTGCTTCTACAACACCGGGACGCTTCTCTTTCATCACACCAGGTACAGACCAAAAAGCTTCATAAAGATTGGCATTCATGCCCAGATGGAAAAGCAAGGCATGAAGATCAACCAACCTGTTGCAGTAGATTAAAATGTCCTTCAGCGCTTTTGTTCACATTGTATAAGCCATTTGAGGCTGAGCTGAACATACATGAAAGGATGAATTCTAGTGCTTTTCAAGCTGAGAGATACACACACACATCTGAGTCAGACAGCTACCTTACCCAGGAACAATTACCAATAACACGGCTTCCCAACCAGTGTGTCTCAAAGGGGTTCAGGGCCCTTGGGGATGCAGGCATTATCTCAAGTTTTGAGGAGACTCTTCACTTCACCCCAGTGTCATAGTCAGTCCGGGCTGCTGTAACAAAGTCTCTCCGATGGAATGGTAATAAACAACAGAAATTTATTTCTCGTAGCTCTGAAGACTGAAAGTCTGAGATCAGGGCACAAGCATGGTCAGGTCCTAGTGAGGGCCTTATTCTGGATTGCAGACACAGCTATATTTGTATCCCTACATGGCAGAGGCAAAGCAAGGGAGCTCTCTGAGTTCCTTCTATGAAAGCACAAATCTCATTCAGAAGGGGTCTGCCCTGATGCCCTAATTATCTCCCGAAGGCCCCACCTACTAATACCACTATACTGCCCTCCAATATAGTATTTCATTATATGAATTTGGGGTAGGAGGGCAAACAGTTTATTGCACCCAGTATGCCATATAAATGTCATTACTGTTCCACGTGCCAAGATATGAAATAAGTGGGAAGAACATGCCTATCTTATCATGTTCCTGTACCTTCTACTGCTGTGCTTTACAAACCCTCCATTTCAGCAAACAGATACATTCACTGTTTATGAAACTGTTCTGTTTGTTCACAGTTTTGGCTTGAAGACCTTTCCCATGATCTCTCTTGCCTTAAATCCTGCGTCTCCTCCTGCAAAATTTTAAAAAATTAATTATGCCCAAAGTGATCTTCTCCTGTAAACTATTTCACATCTTATTTTTTCATCTGTGTGCCTTGTCTCCCCAGACCACAATCTCTCTGAAGGCTATCACAAAGATCCTTTCTCAGCAAATAATTCCTTCTTAACCTGTTTATTGGTCATTGACACATCTCACTGTGCGCTTATTTTCTTCTCATTCCTGTGATAGTTGGATGTGCTACAGAAGGTCAGATGATTTGATTGTATGATTCACAGCTTTAGTGTAGTGCACAACTGCTGGGCACACAACATGGTGCTGGGTGTACAACATGGTGCTAGCTGCATGGAGATTCACAGAAGAAAAAGACGAAAAGAAACACATTGATAAAAACAGGATTATAATGAAGTCTAGGGGTCTTCTAACCTAAAAATCTGGAGATAAAGGAGGCCCTAACTAGTAAAGAATTCCTCTGCATGGTGGGAGGACCCACAATGAGGAAGGAGACATCAGCCATTACTTCTCCCTTGGAACATTTACTATATGTAGTCAAATTTTAGTGACTATATTAGGATTTGGGGAAGGGCAGGGTACTGTTATTCTCTAACCACCAATAAAACCTGAAGTATTTGCAAGTTCAGTCATAGAATAGACAACTTTGCATAATTCAACTTAGCTGAATATCTCCTGTGGAAGGTACGAAACCCAAGAGCCAGAGTCTAGCATTTCTGAAATAACCTATGTGTGTTGGAGGTGGGGGGGGGGGCATGTCAGGTTGGGACTTTGCCCCAGGGTGTGACTGAGACAGGGCAGGGAAAGAATCTGTTGAGGGACAGAATCTATTGACTGGTCTGGAGAACAGAGCTGGCCAAGCTTGTGGTTTCTCTGTGGTCAGCCCTACTAACCACAGACCCCTGTCTAGCCCACCTCCCCCTGGGAGCCCTCCCAACACACTCGTATGAAGAACGGCTTGGCAAACTCCTGCAGTGGGGCTCCTTCAGAGTTCCGCTTTTGACTGACTCCTTCAGAATCAGTCAAAAGGGCCAACACTAAGTCTTCTAAAGCTGCCAGCCTCCTAAGGGAGTATTCCTACATAAGAATATGTTTTGGGGTGCTAATAAGTCCCCTATCAATATTTGGGACACAGCTTTTGAATTCAATAGTTTGCTGAAATCAACTATTATAATACCACTTATGAAAAGCTAAGATGCAAGAGGCCTATATGAAAGGAGATAGATAGATCCTGTCAATCATGTAGTATGATGTCAGAATGGTTTAGAAAACTTTTAATTATATACCTCCAAGGAACCTGTGAGGCTAACACCATCCTATCTGTGTTCCCTGGGGCTCAACTGGAGTCCATGAGAACTGAAGGTGGAGGATGGACTCATATAGAAACCCTGGATGAAGGACAGTGGGCACTGGTCCAGGATCTGAGTCTGCTCAGGGGTTCTAGAAGGAATTGAGGTCACCTGGAAGATATAGAGCTACTGCAAAAATTATTTAGAATGGCTTTTCTTTGAATCCTCAACTCCCATGACAATCAGGAGCCAACTCCCAGTGACTATCTGTCTGATTATGTGACAATGCTCAGCTCCCTAGTTTTCCCACGAAATCAAAAACCTCCTAGTTTGTGAGCTGCAATCATTGCCCACAGTTAAGCCTCCACACCAACACTCACATACAAACGCACACGCACCGACACTGTACTTTCTGTTTCAGGCAGCGATACTCTGGATCCTAATGCTCTGAAAAAATAGAGAACTATCTCACCAAGCTAAGGAAGTGAGCTCCCAGACCTTGTTTTTAAAAATGTTCAGCTTGACAACTGAGTCCCCTAGATCATTAGTTTCTCTCCCCCACCCCTCAGTTGCAGTGTATAAACAAGGGATTATTTGAATTCCCCTGAGGGAGAATTAATTGAATCAGCTTTGCAGGACTAATGGATTTAATTTGGTTGTAAAAATCTTCTTACCTACTCGTTTTTCTAATGTTGTGACTGTCAAGCCTTTTCTTCTACTTAGAACTACCTAGAAAATATTTCATATGCTTGTGTCTCGTGAATGTGGGGTTTTTTTTAGATCTATGTAATTTTAATTTGCTTTGGTCTCTCACAATTATTAAAAATTAGTTCAAAGAGTAGAAAGAATGTACATGGTAAACAGTGCCCCTTCTCGTGCTTCACTCTCTGTGCTATTAACAGGAAACGCATTTCTGACACTTTTAAAATGAGCAATCACACGTATAATCAACTTGGTTAAAACTTCCTTCCTGGTAACTGCAACACTTCCTCTGCATCTGGATACGAAGGGAGACCCAGAAAAGCGGAAGAGTTTAGAGGTACACTGGGTAGGTTCAAGTGCATTGTTTTCAAAAATCGAACAAATGATCCTTCAGCTTCATCGCCTCCACTGCTTTATCAGGTATTTTTTCCCTCTCTATTTTTTGCCCTTTTTGGGGGGATGACTGGGAATACTGACTCTTCCTTCTCAGCTAGAATATTTTTATCTGGAACAGTTGCTGGTTCTTGAGACGATACTACCACTGAATGTCTCTGTTTCATTGTCTAGTTCAATCTGTATGTGTAGAGATATCCAGGAGGTCCTGGTGACAGCTTTGCAGGTGCATCAGTCCTTTTTTGTTTTTGTTTGAGAGGAAGAGGGAGGGCACAGGAGCCTGTACTAGCCAAGCTTCACGTTCTTACCAGCGCATGCTGAGCCATTATTGTACTTACCAGTGTTTCTGAGGTCTTCTTGTAAAAGGCAAACGCTCCATAACCTCGACCATGAAGGAAGCAGTGAGTATGTAATCTGCCTGTTTGTTCTGCATCTTGTATCTTTTAAGATTGACTGAGGCAGAAGTTACTGCTCTGTGTTTGTGCGTTGACTAAATTCAGACCTATTTAATTTCAAGTGTGAGTATTAATATATCTTACAGTTCTCTTCTTTGCTATTCTATAATGTAGCAACATTACAGATCAAATAGTTAACGTTTTAAGCTGCAAGAGACAATGCTTTAGGACAGTTGGTGTTGTGTATTTACTCAGTAGAATTTCATTATATTTTATGGAGGGAATATTGACTTTAAAAGTAACTTTAAGCCAAGATTTGAACAGAAGTTTGGATCTCATGAAACTTGTCTTTCATATCATTTAATCAAACTCTTCTTTTTTGTATATGTCAAATGCTCCACTATTTCTTAAGAAAATAAATAGTTATGTGTCTCACTAATATTAGTCATTTTGAGTACATGCTATCTTCTGAAAGAATTTTTGTGTCAATTGTTGATTCTTGTTTAGAATATAATATCTGACAACACAGTGAGACAATATTAAAATAAAAACACCTTATTTATATTTCAACTTCAATATTTTAGCATTTCCATTATTATTTGAAGTGTTTCTTACTATAGTATGTCACACTTGTACTTAAATGTTTTGTACAGGGTAGGTACTCATTAAATATATATATGGAAAGAGTAGATAAATTGATGAGAAGAAACTTGTGAATTCTCATTATACACATGAAAATATTGGAGAAAAAAATAAGTTAAATAATCAGTTGGGATCCGAACAGTAGGTTACTGGAGCCCAAAGCCCTTCCTTCCGTCCTATGGCCTCTTGACTGTCTAATGCAGAGGAGGATGTAATGAACTGTACCAAAGTTAAAATTACCTGAATGCTCTACAAAGAGGGCTCAGCCGTGGGTGCCTCCTCTAAGACACAACCCTAACACAGCAGTGACACCCAGAACTTCCTGATTCAGAATGATAAGTGTGTGTGAATGTTCTCGGCTGAAACTAGCAATTCTGATATTTTTGAGTTTTGTTAATGAAATGATTACCTTTCCTAACTAGAAAGAAAAAAATGAGGGTGGGGGGAAAGGAAGACAGGACCTTGACTTAGGGAGTAGATACAAGAACCAAAGAGTTGGAGCACAGAGAATGTGAAGTGAGGTTGGGGAAGGCATCCGGGTCCCAATAAGTGGGAGACTGCACAAATAGGAAATATTTCAAAGCCCTGTTTCCTTAGTGGGGTGTTTCAATATTTCACAGAACACCTCACAAACTAGCGCTTGATTTTTAAACTGGATTTAAAAATAATTAACACCTCGAGCCGTTATAGTATACTAGACACCATGCTAAATTGGTGCTTTACCTATTTCCTTTATTAAATTAAATTCTCAAACATAAGTAGATAGAATGACTACAGAACCCCTTACAACACAGTGATACTGAATGTTAAAATAAAAATACATTATTTATATTTCAATGTTAATGTTTTAGCATTTCCATCATTATTTGAAGCATTTCTTACTGCAGTATGTCACATTGGTACTTAAATGCTTTGTGCAGAGTAGGTACTCATCAATATATCATCGTCCATATTGAACAGGTATATGCATTACCTTATTTAATCCTCACCTCCAGCCTCTGAGAGTATTACTCCTTTTGAATGATGGGAAACAGGCGCAGAAATTGTTTAACTAGCTCAAGTCACCAGATACTAAGTGGCAGTTTCGGGACTCATGGGCCCTGACCCCGAAGCCCTTCGTGCCCACGTCACTGTCATTCGTCTACTCCGACTCCTGCCGTCTCACAAAAATGCATCCGGACAGTGCCTCCCTGTGACACCGCCCTCTGTTTCTCTGCTCCCAGGTCGCACGGGGCATGGAGTCGGAGAACGATGAACAGCCCGTGGTTCTGAGGGAGGACAACTGCCGCAGGCGCCGGAGGATGAAGCCACGCGGCTCCGCGGCCAGCCTGTCCTCCATGGAGCTCATTCCCATCGAGTTTGTGCTGCCCACCAGCCAGCGCACCAGCAAGACCCCGGAGACGGCGCTGCTGCACGTGGCGGGCCACGGGAATGTGGAGCAGATGAAGGCGCAGGTGTGGCTGCGCGCGCTGGAGACCAGCGTGGCGGCTGACTTCTACCACCGGCTCAGCCCCGACCATTTCCTGCTGCTCTACCAGAAAAAAGGGCAGTGGTACGAGATCTACGACAAGTACCAGGTCGTGCAGACGCTAGACTGCCTGCGCTACTGGAAGGTGCTGCACCGGAGCCCAGGCCAGATCCACGTGGTGCAGCGGCACGCTCCGTCCGAGGGGTCGCTGGCGTTCCAGCGGCTGCTCACTGCCCTCATAGGCTATGACGTCACCGATGTCAGCAACGTGCACGATGACGAGCTGGAGTTCACGCGCCGCCGCCTGGTCACCCCACGCATGGCCGAGGTGGCTGGCCGAGACCCCAAACTCTATGCTATGCACCCCTGGGTGACGTCCAAGCCCCTCCCGGAATACCTGTTGAAGAAGATTACCAACAACTGCATTTTCATTGTCATTCACCGCAGCACCACCAGCCAGACCATCAAGGTCTCGGCTGATGACACCCCAGGCGCCATCCTCCAGAGCTTCTTCACCAAGATGGCCAAGAAGAAATCTCTGATGGATATCCCCGAAAGCCAGAATGAACAGGACTTTGTGCTGCGCGTCTGTGGCCGTGATGAGTACCTGGTGGGTGAAATGCCCATCAAAAACTTCCAGTGGGTGAGGCATTGCCTCAAGAATGGGGAAGAGATTCACCTGGTGCTTGACGCGCCTCCGGACCCAGCCCAGGACGAGGTGAAGAAAGAAGAGTGGCCACTGGTGGATGACTGCACAGGAGTCACCGGCTATCATGAGCAGCTGACGATCCATGGGAAGGACCATGAGAGCGTGTTCACTGTGTCCTTGTGGGACTGCGACAGGAAGTTCAGGGTCAAGATCAGAGGAATTGATATCCCTGTGCTGCCCCGAAATGCTGACCTCACAGTGTTTGTGGAGGCAAACATCCAACATGGGCAGCAAGTCCTTTGCCAAAGGAGAACCAGTCCCAAACCCTTTACAGAGGAGGTGCTCTGGAATGTGTGGCTTGAGTTCAGTATCAAAATCAAAGACTTACCCAAAGGGGCTCTACTGAACCTCCAGGTCTACTGCGGCAAAGCTCCAGCGCTGTCTGGTAAGGCCTCTGCAGAGGTTCCAAGTTCTGAATCCAAAGGCAAAGCTCAGCTTCTCTATTATGTGAACCTGCTGCTGATAGACCATCGGTTCCTCCTGCGCCGTGGGGAATATGTGCTCCACATGTGGCAGATATCTGGGAAGGGAGAAGACCAAGGGAGCTTCAATGCTGACAAGCTCACGTCTGCAACCAACCCAGACAAGGAGAATTCAATGTCCATCTGCATTCTTTTGGACAATTACTGTCACCCAATAGCCTTGCCTAAGCATAGGCCAACCCCTGACCCTGAAGGGGACCGGATTCGAGCCGAAATGCCCAACCAGCTTCGGAAGCAACTGGAGGCCATCATAGCCACTGATCCACTTAACCCTCTCACAGCAGAAGACAAAGAATTGCTCTGGCATTTCAGATATGAAAGCCTTAAGCATCCAAAAGCATATCCTAAGCTATTTAGCTCTGTGAAATGGGGACAGCAAGAAATTGTGGCCAAAACATACCAATTGTTAGCCAGAAGGGAGATCTGGGATAAAAGTGCTTTGGATGTTGGGCTAACAATGCAACTTCTGGACTGCAACTTTTCAGATGAAAATGTGAGAGCCATCGCCGTTCAGAAACTGGAGAGCTTAGAGGATGATGACGTCCTGCATTACCTACTACAGCTGGTCCAGGTAGGGGATGCCAGTGTGATTTACAGAGCACTCTTCCCCAGAAATTCATTTGCATGTGCACAGGAGCTCCATTTAGTTGTCATCAAATGCCCTTTGTCCAGAGCATCCCGATTTGTCAGAGCAGAAATGAAGAAGCCACCTCAAAAAGTGGTATTCTGTTCCTTTTTTTATTATTATTATTCTCTTTGAGGGTTTTCTGACAGGCGTTTTGAAGATGTTAAAATTTCCACTTTTTAGGAGGACTGAGTTAATGGGACTATGTTGTTCACATTTCTTGTATTAATGATAGATTTGATTTATAGAATGCTCCTTTTTGTCCAGGCTTCAAGTGATATACATGCTTTTTATGTATTATTACATTTAATTCTTCCAATAACTATGATGGAGGTCGAGTTAATACTTTAATTATAAGGAAACTGAGGCAAAAAGAGAGGCTAGCTAATGTGCCCAAGGTCACACACTTTGAAAAACTGGAGTTTAAACCCAGGAGGTCTGACCCCAGGCCCTGCTTCTTTCACTGCCTCCCAGGATCCGGCATCAGTCCAGTGTCAGGGTTGGGGTCCTAGAGAGAAAAGGTCATACTCTCTGATCATGAACACGACATTCATGAATAACACCTCATATCTGGATGGGACCTTGAAAGCCCCTCTCTTCAGACAGGTCTGGCACTGTGTTTCCGCTCGTGTTCTCATGCCTTTCCCTGGGGTCGGAAGAGGTCACCTCATTTGCCTAAGTTTTTCTCAGGAAGTTGAAGAAAGGAGGAACGGTTCTCCTACGTGCTGCAGCCAATCTCAAATTAGATCGTGCTGCTTGATAAGGACAAGGAAGTAAAGAAATTGAAATAGCAATTCTCATTTAGAATGCAGGAGTGTTCATTCACGAATTCAACAACATGTGCATCGCGCTTCTGCTGTTCTGAATGCTGGACATGGTGCAGTGATGAAAACAGAGCCTGTCTGCTCTCATGTAGCTTGTCGTGCATGCAAAAGACTGACATTTAATAACAAATTGTAATGAATACTTTGGGGGAAACCTAGAGTGTTATGAGAAAATAGTTACGGATCCTGGGAACACAATTTAGATCAAAGAAGCCAGGGACAGTTCTAAATGGGGGATGTTTGAGCTGCGATCATTAAGATTAGCCAGGGTAAGTGTTGGACACAAAACCACCTAATTATTGTCTGTATGACTGGAAGGCCCTAGAGTTTCTTGACGAGCACTGTGGATGCTCTTTACTTAAACTCTGAACCACCACCTTTCATTAAGCAGATACTTGAAACATGATATTTGGCCTTTACTTTCATCTGTCAAATGTACCCAATAGTTTTAATCTGTCCGTGAGTGCAGATACTAGCATAACACTAAGGAAAATTTTAGAATAAGCCAAGCATCTTCAGCTTTCTAGCTCTCCAAAGCAAAATAGAACATAAAACAAATTTGCGTGAAATGTGTTCCAAGTCCCAAGGCCACTATGAATTATTTTACATGGGCATTTTCACACATAAACTTTACAGAATTGAAAAATGAATGGTGTTCTTGGAAATATTTAAATGAAAAAGGTCAATAAGTAATATCAGCATTGAATTTGTGGTCATAAATTTGAAGAGTATTAGTCATTTGTAAAATTGAGACATTTTCAAATATGGTCGAATGACTCATTTAGACTAAAATGGCCTCCTCATTGAGACCTGCATTGTCTTTGCAGAAGTGAAACATGAAGACGTTTGAAAAGACTCACATTAAAACATTTCTGAAGTGAGTACTGTTAGCGAAATAGCCATACTCTCCAAATTGAGATCTTAGCTGGAGCTATAGTGGCACCTATTTGACCATACCCATGGAAAGGATCTTTGAAAGTATTGGGGATAATTGAAATATTATCAAGTCAGTATTGATCACTTCCAAACTGGAAAACCAGAGTAAGAACTGGAAATCATACCCAAAGTTCCCAGGCCTTAAAACATAAAGTGAAACAGGAATTTCTACTGTTTCATCTGAAAAAAAGGATAGACCGTGTCTATTTATAAAGAAAATACTCTGACATATTTAATTTTAAGCCTCCTCTCTTCATCATACCCACCCTATAGTTTTATAGATGCATCTATAATAAACAGTATTTGTTAGTCTTACTGTTTTTAAAATTATGGACTATTGCAGATTTATAGAAAAGTACAGAGAATGATGTAACAGATATCACACACCCATCAGGGGTTAATTATTTTTTACATTTTATTGGTTCTTTTTCTTCAGCCTTGGAGGTATCATTTAAATCAGTATCTCTACATTAACTAAGTGATATGAAAACCGCTATACACTTTTCCTGAGGAACCATATTAAATAAGAGTTTTTAGACAAAAGCTCTGTATACACCACTACCTGGCAGGGGGTAGAGGTCATGCTGCATGAACTGATGTTTACTTGCAGTTAGAACCTGTGAGACAGCTCAGTGACTTGCCTTTGAGATTCCAGGCACACATCCTGAGCAGAAGTGGAGTGATAAGACTTTTAGGATCTTCACATTTAACAAATATTTTCTTCCTTACATGTATTCTGTCTTCACTATTTTCTTTCCAACAACCTCTCTTGCGTTCCACTTTTATAGATTTGTTATAGCCATTTCCATCTTTCCCTTCTATCCTTCCAATCAATCATCTAAGCCCTTAACAGGAGCCAAAGTCCTCCCCTCTTCACCTTTGAAGTTATCAAAAGCACCTGACTGTGAGTCAAGAGTTCTGGCTTCTACTTCCAGTCCTTAAGCAAGTTCACTTTGGTTCACTCTGGCCCAAAGCGTCCTTGAAAAAAAAGTTTTGCGCTTAAGTGACTGGTAAAATTCTCATCACCTTAGCCATAAAAACCCACCAAGACAGAGTGCTAGTTTTTCTCCATTTCCTTTTCCCTGATTCACCAACATAGAATGTAGCCCTACAAATGCCCATGTGTTCTTCCTTCAGGCTGTGAAATTTGAACCTTACCATGACAGTGCCCTGGCCAGATTTCTGCTGAAGCGTGCTTTAAGAGTAAGTACTTCCATTTTGATAATAGCATGACATTTTAAAAGTTACTGGGAATTGGCTGGTAGATCTAGACCATTAGTCACAATAATTTCAACCATCTTGTTCCCACCCTCAGAACAAAAGAATTGGTCACTTCTTGTTTTGGTTCTTGAGAAGTGAGATAGCCCAGTCCAGGCACTATCAGCAGAGGTTCGCTGTGATCCTGGAAGCCTACCTGAGGGGCTGTGGCGCCGCCATGCTTCACGACTTTACCCAACAGGTCCAAGTAATCGAGATGTTACAAAAAGTTACTATTGATATTAAATCGCTCTCTGCTGAAAAGTATGACGTCAGTTCCCAAGGTATGGTAGCTATGTTTTCTGGGTTCTCTTTCCAGATGCCTTCATCTCCAAATGACATCATCCCTGGAAGGCACTCTGTGCCGTCCTAAAGGCAGCAAAGAGCAATTTTTAAAAAGCGTCTGTCTTTAGGGAGCAAGCAAATTTAAGTTCTCCCTTTACAACTTAATATATTTTTACAACAGTGTATTTTTAATGATGAGTTTATGATAGATATTAAACTGAAAATTATTTTAAGCATTATGCTGATGTAAGATCTATTCTTAAGAACAATTGTGCATACACAATAAGATTAGTTATTTTCAAATATTTACCTTTTCCCCATCTTTCAATATATACATATAATTTTCAAATTTTCAGTATTTTAAAATAACAAATTATTAAGAAGATATTTAAAATTTTTGGCACATATATATATGTCTATACATATACACCTCCATATATTATATCTATACATATATAGTATATATACTATATTATATATATAATATATATCAGAGTACTTCATATAAAAATATATATCACCTCTTCTGTGAAGGAATTTCTAATATTGTTTTCTTATTCCTAAGAAACCCTGTCCCTGGCCCCCACAGAAAATAGATGAAAATTAATCACTCTTTCTCTGTCATCAGTACATCCTTCTGGTCTGCTAAACTATATGAACCTTGAAGCAGGGAAATATCTTTTATTCCTAATTTGTATACCTCGACCCAGCAGCATGGCTCATAAGGGACATTCACTAACATACTCAGCCAGTATTACAAACTTCTGGATATTTAAAATTTCCACTTTTTCCTTTTGATTCTTTTCCAATACAACAATAATGCTCTGTTCTAAAAGTACTAATAGTAATAATGACTTTACTCACTTTTATTTATATTGTAAGTAAGAAAGGGGAACATTCGTACTGGCCTCCAGTCTGTTATACAGGGAGTAATTTTTAATTTTGGAACTTTACTTTTAGAATTTTGAGGCTGTCACATCATCTCCACCCTGCCTAACTTACTCTTTGGAAAAGATTTTACAGAACCCTAACCAAATTCTATTTATTATGGTCTTCAAATGTCTGTTCCCCAAATCAGATGGCAGTTTAAAGTTTCACATGTTAGAAAGAAAACTAAAGTATCAGTTCCTTAGCACTATTCTTAAAATACCCTTCCCTAGGTGGTGGTCCTGGTGCACTGTATCTATCCCCTGTCTCCGTCCCCTGGTGTGGTATGTGCACTGGCAGTATTGCTCCCAGAGCCTGCTCACCTTGACACCCCAAATGGGTAGTTCCTCTAAGACAGAGACTAACCCCCTTTTCTCTTACTCCACACCAGACCAAACGTATAGAATGTCATGAATAGATGTGGCCTCGGGAAGTGTCGTGGAGAATGTTGCTAATTTCTTGAGCTCACATAACTCGTGTGCTTTTGATAATTACAGTCATTTCACAACTTAAGCAAAAGCTTGAAAACCTTCAGAATTCGAATCTGCCCAAGAGCTTTAGAGTTCCGTATGACCCGGGGCTGAAAGCAGGAGCACTAGTGGTACGTATCACCTGGGTGTCTCCGCATAGTCTGCATGTCTTGAAAATGTCTGTACAGCTCTTTTCTAAACACTGGACACTAAAAGCCTAAGAACAAGGCAATCACCCACCCATTTTGTTTTAAATTAGCTTCCATGAGGAATCATTTACATGCAAAAAAATGTCCATTTTAAGCATACAGTTCATTACCACAATTGAGATATAGAACATTTATATAGAAATTTTGTAGAAATAGTTCTTTCATATTCTTTTTTTAGTTAGTCTTTTCTTCCTTCCATGCCCCATCTCTGACAACAAATCTGCTTTCTATTATGTAATTTTGCCTTTTCTAGAATTTCATGGTGTGGAGTCATACAGTATGTAGTTTTGTATCTGGGTTATTTTATTTAGCATAATGCTTTTAAGATCCATCCATGTTGCTATGTGTATCAGTAGTCTGTTTCTTTCTATGACTGAGTAGTATTGCCTGTTATAGCAATGCCACAGTTTGTTCTCCATTCACTTTCTGAGTAAATATTTAGCAGTGAGATAGTTGGGTCAGATGGTACATGTACATGTAATTTCATAAGATACTGCCAGGCTGCTTTTCCAAAGTAACTGTACCATTCATTTTACATTCCCACCAGCAATGGATGTGAGTTCCAACAGTTCCACATCCTAGCCAACACTCGTTGTCAGTCTTTTCAGAAGACTGATGACACCCATTGCAACGGTGTGAAATGGTATCTCATTGTCAGCATCTTCTCATGTACTCAGCCTCCACCTTCTCTTGAGCAGTTTCTGTTCATATCTTTTGTTCTTTTTTAATGTGGGTTGCCTTCCTATTTTTTATGAGTTATTTATATATTCTGGACACAAATCCTTTATAAGGTATACATTTTACAAATATTTTCTCCCAGTCTATGACTTGTCTTTTCATTTTCTTAGTATGTTTCAAGGAGCAGAATTTTTTAGTTTTTATTAAGTCAATTTATCACCTTTTCTTTTATGGCTTATGCATTTTGCATTCTAAGAAATATTTTCTTAATCCAGTGATACTCCACCTGGGGTGGCCAACCCCCTCCCACATACATACACTCACACACCAAAGGACATTTGATGACATATGGAGACATTTTTGACTGTTACAACTGGGAAGATGCTCCAGTGGGTAGGGCCAGGAATGCTGCTAAACATCCTAAAATGCACAGGGCAGCCCCCAAACCCCAGCAAAGAATTATTCAGCCCAAAACATAGTGCCAAAGTTGAGAAATACTGCCTCATTCAATGTAACAAATATTTTTCCAAAAATCATATAGTTTTAACTCTTACATTTAAGTTTTTATCTATTTTGAATTAATTGTTTAATATAGTTTATTATGTTATTACAGTTGTCCCATTTTCCCCCTTCACTTCTCTCCACCCTGCACACCCTCTCCCACCCACATTCCCCCCTTTAGTTCATATCCATGTGTCATACTTGTAAGTTCTTTAGCTTCTACATTCTGCATACTATTGTTACCCTCCCCCTGTCCATTTTCTGTCTACCATCTACACTACTTATTCTCCGTACCATTTCCCCCCTTTCTCCTCTTCCCACTCCCCTGTTGCTAACTCTCCATGTGATCTCCATTCCTATGGTTCTGTTCCTGTTCTAGTTGTTTGCTTAGTTTGTTTTTGTTTTTGTTTTAGGTGTGGTTGTTAGTAATTGCAAGTTTGCTGTTATTTCACTGTACATATTTTTTATCTTCTTTTTCTTAGATAAGTTCCTTTAACATTTCATATAATAAGGGCTTGGTGATGATGAACTCCTTTAACTTGACCTTATCTGAGAAGTACTTTATCTGCCCTTCCATTCTAAATGAAAGCTTTGCTGGATAGAGCAATCTTGGATGTAGGTCCTTGCATTTCATAACTTGGAATACTTCTTTCCAGCCCCTTCTTGCCTGTTAGGTCTCTTTTGAGAAATCAGCTGACAGTCTGATGGGAACTCCTTTGTAGGTAACTGTCTCCTCATCTCTTGCTGCTTCTAGGATTCTCTCCTTTATTTTAATCTTGGCTAATGTAATTACGATGTGCCTTGGTGTGTTCCTTCTTGGGTCCAACTTCTTTGGGACTCTATGAGCTTCCTGGATTTCCTGGAAGTCTATTTCCTTTGCCAGCTTGGGGAGTTCCCCTTTATTATTTGTTCAAATAAGTTTTTCACTTGTTGCTCTTCTTCTTCTCCTTCTGGTACCCCTATAATTCGAATGTTGGAATGTTTAAAGATGTCCTGGAGGTTCCTAAGCCTCTCCTCATTGTTTTGAATCCTTGTTTTTTTATTCTTTTCTGTTTGGTTGTTTCTTTTGGTCCACTCCATTGATCTGAGTCCCAGTTTCCTTACCATCGCTATTGGCTCCCTGTACATTTTTCTTTATTTCACTTTTTATAGCCTTTACTTCTTCCTCTATTTTGGGACCATATTCAGTCAATTCTGTGAGCATCTTGATCACCAGTGTTTTGAACGGTGCATCTGATGGGTTGGCTATCTCTTCATTGCTTAATTGTATTTTTCTGGATCTCTGATGTGTTTTTCCATTTGGGCAATTTTTTTTGTCTTAACATACCTGTTACATAGTGGAGGTGGAGCCTTATATGTTCACCTGGGTGGGTGCTGTATGTGGGGGAGGAATACGAGAGGGAATAATGGTGCTTTTTCCGCCAGATTTCAGTCACTTCTCCCACTTCCCCCAAACAAACCGGGCCCTTCTGGTGCTGATTTCCAGGTGGGTGGGCTTGTGTACATCCTGGGACCCTGTGGGTCTCTCCAACAAACTCTCCTGTGAGGCTGGAAGTCTCTCCTGGCACCTCAACCCTCACAGGTGTTTTCAATTGGTGTTTTGAGTCTTTATTTCCTTGCTCTAGAGCCCTGGGTTGTGCAGTCTGTTTCACTCCCCAATTTCACCTGGTTTATCTGTGTGAGAATGCGGGAACGCCTGCTCCATCAGCTGCCTTGTGCACAAGTGCCCCTCCACAATCCACCGCTTCACTGGGTCCACCAACCACTGTCTGTGCACCCCGCCTGGGGTTCGTCAGCCACCGCTTTGCTTCAAGTCCCATCCACCCAGCCGCCCAATTCTGCCCCTCCTACTGGTCTGGATGAATGTGTCTATTTTACTCCTTGGTTGTCAGACTTCCATACAGTTCAGTTTTCTGTCAGTACTGTTGTTTTTTTGTTTTTAAATTTTTGTTGTCCTTATTTTGGTTGTACAAGGAAGGCACAGTATGTCTACCTATGCCTCCATCTTGACCAGAAGTTCTGAATTAATTTTTGTGTATAGTATGAGATAAAGATCAGGTTTCATTTTTTATCTGAATATCCAAATCTCCAGCACCACCTGTTGAAAAATTGTCCTGTACTTGTTTAAGTATATTAGCAATACTTTTGTCAAATGTCATCTGACCATGTGGATTTATATCTAGATTCTCTATTCCGATCCACTGATCTAAATATATCTATCTTTATGTCAATACCACAAGCTCTTGGTAATATTCAAATGATAAACTACTTCATATGTGCATGAAACTCTTACAATAGTATATTTTTATCAACCTCTTCTCATTGTTACACTGTTTTTGTTATGCTTTTAATTTCTACATATATTAGAAGCCAAATACCTTTTTATAAGTTTGCTTTAAATGGTTGAAATAGATTTAACAGACTGACTTTTTTATATCTACCCACACGTTTACTCTGCACTACTTGTATAGGCCCGTGTTTCCATCTGGCATCATTTTCCTTCAGCCTTTAATATTTTTAACCGTGAAAGTCTTCTGGCAAGAAATTCTTTTATATTTTATTTGTAAAACTCTTTATTTCACTTTCATTCTCAAAAGACATTTCCCCTGGAAAGAAGGGGACATTCCTCCCTTCATGTTTATTTTCTGTGCAATTAGCAGTAAACCGGCCCAAAATAAAAACACATACTGTCATTTGTCCTCATCCAGTTAGAGATTGCTAGGAATAATAACATAATACAGCTTCAAGTTGTGTTTGTTTTCTTTTAAAGACCACATCGCATTTTTGATGCATGGTGAATTCACTTTGGGCCAAAACCCCTAAGATTTTTTTTATCTTGGAGTGGCTGCTAAGCCACATTTCCAGAGAATTTACTTGAGTTTATTTAGGTGTATAGGGTTTTTCTTTTGAGAGAGGATGCATTGTACCTGAGTGCTAGATTTCTGTTTACTGCAGTTAGATTTTATCTTATTATATTTGGCCTATTGCCTCTGATTCTGCAAGGATAGTTTTTACATATTGTGATAGCAATAGAATACTTTTTTCCAAATTAAATCTTATAAGACCAAATATATAAAGAAAGAACAGCAAAGTTGCTCTGCATTAAAGGGGACCTGAGAGTACCAGAGTTCATGGGAGTAGGGCGCACAGAGGATGGGATCTGCTAGACCACTTAAGCATCTTCACAGACTCTTAGGGTTCCTTGGAACACACTTTGAGGACCACTGGTGTAAGTGTGGTGAATTGCTCTCACTACTATTTTCAGATTTGGTGAGAACCCTTTCTATATTTTTATCCAAATCATTGAAAATTATTTCCCAACTAAGGGTTTGTCCTGATTATTTTTAGTGATAACTTTGGAAGAAGATGTGTGTCCCCACAATGTGTATTCATTGCATATTAAAGTATCTGACTGTTCCCTGACAGATTGAAAAATGTAAAGTGATGGCCTCCAAGAAAAAGCCCCTTTGGCTTGAGTTTAAATGTGCCGACCCTACAGCTCTATCAAAGGAAACAATCGGAATTATCTTCAAACATGGTGATGATCTGCGCCAAGACATGCTTATTTTACAGGTACACCACTGTTAAGGATTTTTTTCAGTTACCTGAAAAAATAACTCCAGTATATTAGATCTAAAAAATGCCTTCTACTGACTGTCCTGTTCTGTCTTTGATCGTTGTTCATCTTGTCTGATGAACAACGATCAAAGATTGCGTAAGAGAGCGGGGGAGTATGGCTGTGGGTCGTCAGATGCACATTCTGGTAAACATCACGGTTCTGTCCATTGCTGACAGGATCCATAGCCAACGTTCCCAAATAGCCAGCTATGCCTCCCTCACCTCTCCTCTGTTTCATACACCCGTTCCTAGTATGGCAACCTAGAACACAGGCATATTTAACTCCATAGCATTCACTTAATTCTTATTCATAGATGTAGTTACATACCCACAGGAGCTCTTCTTAGATACATCACCTTTGATACACACCCACATACACAAACTCAAATGAATGACTTGATAGGAGAGAGAAAATAAAGAGGTGAGTGACTGGAGAAACCATGCAGTTAAATAACAAACAGTGAATGGATTACTAGAGCAGGTCAATGGCAAAAGTATCACTGTTAATCATTTTTCTATTTTCTAATATTTCTGGGTAAACTTTCACTTCACAAATTCATAAAATGATACTTTATATTCTAGCTGTTTAACATTGTAGAGGTAACATAATTTCTAATAATAATATGATTTATTTAAAACAGACAAACCGCAATGACGGGAATGTAGACTATTTAAGAAAAAGGACATGTTTTTAATTCCCTCTGCGTTTCTGTTTTTGCTTCTTTCTAATATGGAAACAATAATACCCTCTGCACTCTTTTCAAGAATTTTATGTATATTTTCCTGGAAATAATTTTGTATTAAAAAAAGAAAAAGTCCTTCAAACTTTTTAAAATTAATTAAATTCCCAATAAATCTGTAAAATCCGTTGAATTATTTGCCCTGGATGGTGGCTCAGTTAGTTGGAGCATTGTCCTGTAACTGAAAGGTTACCACTTTGATTCCCAGTCAGGGCCTATACCTAGGTTGTGAGTTTGATCCCTGATGCCTGCACATGTGATCCCAGGTCTGGGTGTGTGCAGGAGGCTACCAATCACTGTGTGTATCTCACGCTGATGTTTCTCTCCCTCCCTCCCTCCCTCCCTCCCTCCCTCCCTCCCTCCCTCTCTAAAAAGCATTGAAAAAGTATCCCTAGGTAAGGATAAAAAACTTTTGAATTATTCAAAGATATATTTGAGAAACACAGAACATCACTCATTTTCCTCTCATTTTGAGGGAAAGTTTGCACTTTACCTTTATGTACTTTATTTTGTTGTTAGGGCACTTTGCTTGGCAGATAAGGACATTTAAGTTCTCTATTTAAGTTCTCTAATCCTCAGTCTCTTCACCTGCAGAATATGAATAATAATCATATCTACACTGTAAGGTGAATGCAAAGGATCAACATAAAACAGCACCCAGTAAATGTTAGTTCTCATTACCATTGTTGCTACTGTTTTGGTTGTAGCCCAAGAGTGCCTTATGAATAAAACTTTGTAGGGATGGGCCCTGGCAGGTGTAGCTCAGTGGATTGAGCACGAGCCTGTGAAGCAAAGGGTCGCCGGTTCAATTCCCAGTCAGGGCACATGCTTGGGTTGCAGGCCAGGTCCCTAGTAGGGGACACATGAGAGGTATCCACACATTGATGGTTCTCTCCCACTCTTTCTCCTTCCCTTCCCTTCTCTCTAAAAGTAAATAAATAAAATATTTTTTTTAATTTGTAGGGATAGTAGAGTGGAACATTTTTTTATTGTTGTTCAGTTACAGTTGTCCCTGTTTTCCCCCCATTCCTCTCCCCTGCCCCGCCCACCGCCCTCCTCCCACACTCAATCCTCCCCCATGTTGTCCTTGTCCGTGGGTCCTTTATACATGTTCCTTGACTTGACCCTTCCCCTTCTCTAGCCCTTTATGCCCCCCTCCCCTCTTGTCACTGTCAGTTTGTTCTTTATTTCCACCTATCTGGTTCTATTTTGCTTGCTTGTTTGTTTTGTTGATTAGGTTCCATTTATAGGTGAAATCGTATGGTATTTGTCTTTCACTGCCTGGCTTATTTCACTTAGCATAGTACTCTCCAGTTCCATCCATGCTCTCAAGAAGGGTAGGAGCTCCTTCTTCCTTTCTGCTTTATAGTATTCCATTGTGTAAATGTACGACAGCCTGGTACTGTCATAAGAACAGACACAAAAATCAATGGAACAGAATAGACAACCCAGAAATAAACCCATGTCTTTATGGTCAATTAATATTTGACAAAGGGGTCAAGAGCATAAATTGGGATAAAAATAGTCTCTTCAACAAGTGGTATTGGGAGATCTGGACAGCTACATGCAAAAAAAGAAAATCAACCACCAACTTACACCATACGCTCAAGTAAATTCAAGATGGATAAAAGGCTTAAATATGAGTCATGGAACTTTTTTTATTGTGTTATAATATATTTAACTAAAGTGGAGTAGATGAATCGTGGCTAATATCTATCTCAAAAGAAATCCATTTATCTTCTTTCTCAAGGTAAATCTCAGGAACCAAAATTAACAGGCTACCAAGGAATAGAAACTTTAGAGCACCAGGTTGATAAATAAAAGTACAGTTGTTACTTATATATTTTGTGTTACCAGATTTTTTAAAGAGAAAAAATATATACATTTAAATTGGAATTTTTTTGTGTGTTTTGATGTGCAGATTCTACGAATCATGGAGTCCATTTGGGAGACCGAATCTCTGGATCTGTGCCTCTTGCCATATGGTTGCATTTCGACTGGTGACAAAATAGGTGTGTGGTTACCCCGGGAGAGGGGTAAAATACTGAGTTAGTTTTAAAGGGTTATACTTCCTTGACTGTAGGTATTTACTAACTGACAGGTTACAATCATAATCCATATAAAAGGGAAGAAAATGCTCTCAGGCTGGTGAATGTGGCTCCCAGTTTAATATGGATATGTTGAAGGTAAATGAATGCATGATTCAAATCCTTGTGCCTAGACATGGAAATGATTTTAGTAAAAACTGCTCCTTCCTCTTTACTTTTCTACCTCTAAACTTTAGCTGTTTCATTACACATTAAACTTCTGCCTCACAGTTAACATTTAAAAATAGAAATATCTGTCATATTTTAGTATCCCAGAATTCACATTATCAAAGCTATTACATATTCCACTCTTAGGTGTTTTTATAAACATTTAACAATTTAATGTCAAGCAAGCATTTTAATTCAAATTTCCAACTTGAGAACTGTACAAAACCATTTACATTTGACCTGTAATTTGAAAAAGGAAAAGGCACAGGTTGGCAGGTAAGGAAGGATAGCTGCTCAGGCCATAGCTGCTTTTACTTAGTACTTTTAAAAACCATCCCTTTCCTCTTTTCATTCAAGGATATTGGAAGCATGTCCCACATGACTTCCATTTTCTCCTCCTTTTATTTGTTTTTCTTACTGCTAAGACCACCAACAGCATGAACCTGGAAAATAGCTCTCTGCCCTCCATTCCACAAAAACATAGCCATTTCTCCTCTGGGCCAGGCACTGGACCCCAACCTGCATCAAACTGTGTGCCTCTCCTCCTCCTGTAGGAATGATCGAGATTGTAAAAGATGCCACAACAATTGCCAAAATTCAGCAAAGCACAGTGGGCAACACAGGTGCATTCAAAGATGAAGTCCTGAATCACTGGCTTAAAGAAAAGTGCCCCATTGAAGAAAAGGTGAGCTCCTTCATTTCCTTACTTTGAAGGCTCCTTATCAGTTGTCATTTATATAGTAATGGTAGTTTCACATTTTCAAAGGATCTGCCGATATTGTGCCTCCTGATGTATTTGGGGAAGCCCTTTATACATGAGGTCGTGGGGGTTTAACCACCTTCCTGTGCTGGCCCAGCATATCTGTATAAAACAGACATGCTCAGTTCAGAACTCCACAAGCATTTGCTTCTCCTTTGATTATCAGGCATGTTTTGCATAAAATTTGGTTCTGTGAAATAATTTGTTAGCACTTCTTATGAAAGTCTATTTTTGTTGTTCAGCAGAAAAATTTAGTTACCACATATAAATTTCTTCCTACCTGGGAAACACTACATACCCTATAAAGTAATTTCTAATTTACCACTTCACTCTAATCTAAATGGTAAATTATGGATGCTGAAAATGTCAGTTCCACCATTTCTCTCAAGTACATGTGCTAAATCCTTCGCATGCTGCTGGGCTGCTGTTTAAAGTTCTGCTGCACAAGATTAGCACTTCTCATTTGCATGGTTAGCAGCTTTTGGAGAGGCAATATAATTAGCAGCACTTATTAGCCTGATATACATGTGTATGGTGACCCCATCGTATTTTAAGTGGTCACAAGCAAAACACATGTTCACCAATGACAAATGATCATGGGTTCTGTATGGCTGTTGTCAAGTGACTCATGGTTAGAAAGTGAAGTGACCCTTTGGTTAAATTGCCCTTTGACTTGTGTTTCCTCCTGGTGCTATTATGATTCATTGAATCTTCACCTAAAACATAAGTAGAGCAATGAGAAAGCTGGCACTGAACAGATATAACATTAATAGAACCAGGCACAACTAACTTGCTCTCTGAAAATGTAACATCTTTTTGAAAGTCCTTTGCAATAGATTCATGCTGCTCTTTGTAGTTAGAACACAACTAATGTTCAGATGCTTTTTAATTAGTTTCAGGCAGCAGTGGAGAGATTTGTTTATTCCTGTGCTGGCTACTGCGTGGCAACCTTTGTTCTTGGAATAGGTGACCGGCACAATGACAACATTATGATTACAGAGACAGGTGAGTTTACTTATTGTAACTTCTTTGGTTGTGGTGAAATACACATGACATAAAATTTACCATTTTAACCTGTGTAAGTGTACAGTGTGGTGGCATCAGCTACATTCACATTGTCGTACAGCATCGCCACCATTCATCTCCGAAACTTTTTCATGTTCCCCAACTGAATGCCAACCCATTGAGTGCCAACTCCTCCTTCCCCCAGCACAGAGTAATTTTTAAATGGAGTTCAAGGGTGGAGCACATATCTAGAAGTCATTGTACAGAAACACAGATTCTGTGATCACCCAGATCACTCAGGCATGAGTAATAGAAGATAATGTAGAAAATGAGACCTAAGTAGCATAAATCAGACAGCAGCTAAGTAGGATCTTATCCTGGAAGCTCATGAAGGTGGGCGTGATCAACAGTGTCAGATTTCATGGAAAAGCAACTAAAGAACTTATAGATGTGTCTTTAAATCTGAAATGCTGTGCCTTCCTAATGACCCTCTTAACTGGTTCACCATGTGCTCTGACGGTGCTCAATATTGGCTACCATGCTAGGAAATTTTTGTCTAAGAAATTTGGGCCAATTTAAGAAGAGAACCTGGAAAAAGCAGCACATTTGGGTAAAGCACTTACTCTCTATGAGAATGGAAAGAGATAATGCCTGTATAGACCCTACATATAATAAAGAGCTCTACAAATGAGAAGAGTTGACAGTAGTTGTGGTGGTGGTGGTGACAGTGGTAGAAATTGACCCAAAGGAGATTCTAATGACTTATTTCTATCTTGCTACTCAAAAATAAAAGGTAAATGTCTCTCCTCCAAGCAGAATGAAACAGTCTCTCTTGAGTTACATAAAGGAAGAGGGTCTTGGGCATATGATGACATATTAGCCAGAGTCTTAATTTACATTTCTAATAATAATTCTGAAGTGACAATTTTTAAATAACATTTGGCTGTCATGTAAAGAACACCGGATGGATATATATAGAAAACACCCTTGGTTCAAAGACTTTGTGGCTACTACTACACACACCTGCTACGACAAAAAAATATCACCAGCTGATAAAACAGTATAACAATAGCTCTGTCACCCAAGATAGTTCATTGTCAGGCAACTTAAAAAAAGTTTCAAGAAATAAACAAACCAGGGTATTGTTACAAGTGCTTATGCCACTGTAATGATGTCAGACATTTTCTTCTTTTAAGGAAATCTATTTCATATTGACTTTGGGCATATCCTTGGGAACTACAAAAGTTTCCTGGGCATTAATAAAGAGAGAGTGCCATTTGTGCTAACCCCAGACTTCCTGTTTGTGATGGGAACTTCTGGAAAGAAGACAAGCCTACACTTCCAGAAATTTCAGGTAACTGGCCTCCCTCATGACCACCTACTGTGAACACCAAGCAGATGGTGCCGGCAGCACACAGGTGCCCTCATCTTGTGCTCCACTTTGAGGCTCCTCGCACCTCTGCCCACCCCTTCTGGCATGACCACTCATCACCTCCGTTCCTTCCCAAGTGCAAAATGACATTTCTCAGTAATCTTCCCACTGACTGCCAAACAGCGAGGAAAAGCTTCAGTGAGACTGGTGATTCTAGGACATCAGGATGACACTGGTACTGAAGAGGGGGCTTTAAGAAAGATCACCTGGCAAGCAGGTTTAGCTTTTAAATACTTATCTGTCCAAGGCACTGCCTAGAAGACCCAATTTTTACATAGGTTTTTCAGGACTCTCAAATGATTTATGGACTTTTCTTGAGCGTTCTTTCTCCAGGTGTATATCAAACTGCTAATGCGGGAACTCTTGTCGCGCCACAGTGTGCTTATCTCATCTTTGTAAAGGACAGTCTCTTCTCCCACTTGCAGTCCTGTCGACTTGACTGCAGGTCCCCCAGGGCTCTAGCTTGCCCGCTCCCTGTGAGCCAGCGCCTGCATGGGTCTGCCCAGCTCCCTGGGGGCATTCACGGTCCGCCTTCTTTTTCAGGCCTTCTTGGTCTACATTTGCTTTTGACTCTCAAATATTTTAAACACCTGAGGAGTAAAATGTTCACGCTTGCAAATTTAGTAACTGTGAATGAACATAACTCAGAGAAATTGTAATTACTACTATAATATACCAATTTTATTAATGAACACAAAACAGACCAATAGAGGCAACAGGTGATGACGTTATATGTACAACAGCTCTCTCCCTTAATGCCTTTTACGTGTACTCAGCATTTTTGAAGTCTCTTTCCCAAGTCTCTTCTCGAGTCCCACGTTACCCTTGGGAGGGGACATGGGCCTGGAGCTCAGGGAAGCAGGAACTAGAATGTACTGTTTTGAAACCTATCTGTTCTTGTTTGTTCTCCTGCCTGACTTTCACTTCAGTGATTACAGGACTTACCCTCCACAGTTCCAGGAGTTCTGTCAGAGAAACTGAGATCTCTGTGGCCGGATGGTCTTAAGATTTTTAGTGTTTTTCTGTGTAAACTCAACTGGGCTTCAGACTGTTGTCAGGGATTTGACACATTTCAGTCCTGTTTTTCTTTAAATTTAAAATCATATGTTTTGACAACTTCCCAGAACAGAAAAATGGTTTCAACAACAAAAAAGAAAGTCAGGAAGGGAAGAAAAAAGAAACACCTGGAAGAATTTAACCGTTTAATTGAGGGAAAACACTCAGTTCTCTTCTCCTGGAGGTGACTCACCTGACTAGCTTTGAACAAACAAAGCAGCAAAAGTGCTATTTAAAGAATCAATGGAAACAAGGAATTTGACCTCACAGATTCTCCTTGTTTCTGTGGATATGTTCTCTTCCTATTGCTGACAACATTTCCATAGACCAAAAAGTGCCCCCTGTGTCAACCCTAAAATCCCAGGAGGACTTCCCCTTTAGTCTTCTTTGTTATTGTTTTAAATTTGCAGGGAGAGAGGGCCAAGGAATGGTTGCCTCCCCCCAGGCAGCTTCCACCCAAAGCAAGAACTCTTTGCAGGGAGACTTCTCCATTCTTGTAGCCAAAGTGTGTTTCTTAAGCCATTAAAACCTCTTTCTCTAAAGTGACATCTAGGCAGTTGCCACTGCTAAAAACACACCTTCATAAATTGCACATACTTACATAAAAACAACTATACTTTAGGGTATTGACATACTATTTAAGTGCCTATGTATATATGCACTTTGATCCTTAAACACAGATCCAGCGAGGTATTGTGTTTAGAAAGATGGGTGTTGGAGCAGAGAAACTTGAGTACATCTCAGGCAGAAGAGTAATATATGAAGCATGAAAAAGAAGCACAGTTCTGGTTAGAGAGCAAGTGAGGGTCCACACTCTGCCAGCCCCGTATCTGTTCCTTTCTGCACTTGTCCCCACCCACATAACTCACAATAGGACAAAAGCCAAGCATATGTACATGTGTGTATAGTTACGCAGACGCAGACCTTCTAAAGCTTCCAGCCTGACAAAGATGAGCAGCAAGTTTTTTCATCACTTAACTCCAACTGTTGAGCAGTTTTTTTGTTTTGGGTTTTTTTCCTTACATACTACTTAGCCTTTCAGAAGATTTCCTGTTTCTTAGCTTTATGTTCCCTTTTGAGATGAAGTTCTTCAAGGTCAGGAAGCACATCTCTAAATTCTCTAAATAGCATCTCAGATGTTGTATAATAAAGCTGCCATTTCCAGGTAAGCTGGGAAATGTTGTATATGTTTACCTTGGAATTAAAGGTTTCCTCATTTCCAGTGAACCACTCATTTTGAATTAGCAAGATTAATTAATGCATGCAGCACCTGTGAATAACTTAGTAGAATGGGTAGAAAAAAGTTGACCCACTTTCTGTTAAGGCCGAGGTAAGCCCGCTGCACAAAGTCTTAAAAATAAACCTAGCACGTGGCTGGAGGAGGGCAGCGGGGGAGCTGCCAGAGGGCGGTGCTCCTTTTGCTCACCCATCTGCTTTCCAAGTTTTAATTCAAACTGAACTAAACGAGCGCTGGCTCGCTACTTTAGCTGAGGACCGGATTCACAAATTATTTCGAGAACAGTGGAGAGTTCAGGAACAAACTATAATCAGACAAAAAGACGCGAAACCAAGGCCTGCTACTGAAACCCAGGATTGTCTGTTCGCCTATGGAGTAGCACATACACACACATATATGTTGATAATGACCATTTTGATAAGTTCTCCTTAGAAAAATCTCTCTTACTGAAGAGATAAAAAAAAGAAAACAATGTTTTGCCCACTGGTAATTTATTTTTGAACCATTTTGTTTTAAATTTCACTGAACAATTATACAACACATATTACATGCAAATACATTTACATCACTGGCAAATAAAATGTGGCTTCCCATTTATTTTTATATAAGAATATGGGTTTTTTCTAATGAAAAGTAGTAACTGCTTCTTAAAAAAAAAACCCCAAAACCAGCAAAATACTGAAAACATCAGTAAGATATGAAAAAACCATTATCCCGCCTCCTAAAAATGATACTGTCAACACTCTAGTGTTTTTCTTTCATTCTATTAAGTACACTATTTGGTGTTTTAGGTTGTACATTAATTAGAACTTGGTTAAAAACGAAAGTAATAGATACAATGTTGCTCCCTTAAACTGTTCTCTGACTTGAAATAAAATCTAAACGTCTCATCTTGCCCTGCGGGGCCCTGTGCTATGGAGCCCTGCCCCCTCCCACCCGCCCCCTGGCACCTTTCCTACATTCACTCAGTTCTCAGTGGCCTTCTTCCATGTCTTCCCTGTCCACCTATCCAGCTGTTCACCACACAGGCCTTCTCCCTGGAATGGCCCCCCTGCCCTTTAGGGCCCAGCTGAGTTTTATCGATCAGAACAGTCTTCTAAATAAGGTCCGTGGGATCACTCTTTGCCACAGCGCCTGCATGTTGCCCTCATAGCATCTACCACAGCGTGTAACCATCTGTGCTAGCCTGCTCTTTGTGTCTCCCTTCTCAGAGTAAGATCTGTGTGACTTGGTCACATCTTACCTGAATCCCTGCCACGGGGCCTGAGACATGTCAGCACTCGGTAGGTTATTTGGGGTGTGAAGGAGTGAATCGTAGAGGAGTAATTGCTGCGTTTGGATGAGACTAGCTTGCCTCTTGGTTTTTTCCTTCCTCACAATACATTGTATTCTATGAATTTATGAAGTAGTAACCCAGGCACAGACAGACGAACTACCATCACATGCATGTCAATAAGCCTTCAAAGTACAGGTTAAACAACTGTATATCAGAGGAAGTAAACCTAATTATGAAATCTAGTATGTTATTAAATAATACAAATATTTGTTATATGGTGCCCATTCACATTTTTGTGAAAATTTTCTGATATAACCATTATATACTTTTTTCTATCAGAGCCATAGTCTGTGCCAAGAAAATAAGGCCTGTGTTATATACACCTGGGGTATATACTCCTATAGTATACATTCAATGTAAGACAGTTTTCAAGGAGCATAAACAACTTGGCCTTGTATAAACAAGCATTTTTAAGATGTTCTTTGCACATAGTAGGCAATAAGCAACTGTACATCAGATAAAGCTGAAAAAGTCAGAGGAACATCTTCGCATGCACATCTATGCAAAGCAAGCAATTTCATGGGCGTACTTAAAAGGCACTTGCCCCTAGATGTCACTCTTAAGAAGCATTATACGAGAGAAGTCATTTCAATTTAGGACCCCAGTTTTATCAGGCCCCGCTGGGCTTCCACCCTGGCAGAGCTCATTTGATTAATCAAATGCCAGGGTGTACCCAACGCCTCAAGCTGCAGGCCCAGTCCTGGGCCCAGCTGCTATCCAGAGTCCTGAGTCGGGTGTTTAACACCTTCATTCTCAGTTCACCTCTGCTCTCATCTCAGATTCCAGGTTGTCTGAACTACTTCTGCCACAGTTCCTCCACCAGGCCCTGCTTGTTAACCTGCTTCGAGCCCTGGGTCCCTGTACCCCCTGCTACCTGTCTTGGAGAAACTCAGTGATCTCCGAGGCCCAGCCCCAGGGAGCCCAGGGCAGAGACCTCCCCATCTGATCCTCACCATCAGTCCCCATTCCTGTTCTCTGACTCCCCTTCCCTGTGTGGTGTGCCCTGCACTTGTCCGCACCTGCAACTGTCTATATGCGTGACCTTCCATGCTGGGCTATCTCAGCCTCCTGCTCCTTCCTGCTACAGTCACCAGGCCCTGTCCTTCCATATCCAAGATAGCACACTTATTCGACACACACTTATTAAATACCTACTACATTTCAGATACTCTGCCAGGCACAAAGAAAGCTCAAGGACTGCTCTTGGTAAGGTGAGATGTCTCTATAGTTTAATCCTCTTCAAATATAATTGTTCCCTAATTCATCCTGATTTTAAAGCAATGAATCTTTCCC